CCCCTCTGATGGTCCCTGACCTGTCTGATGGTCCCTGACCTGTCTGGTCCCTGACCTGTCTGATGGTCGTTGACCTGTCTGATGGTCCCTGACCCCTCTGATGGTCCTTGACCCTTCTGATGGTCGTTGACCTGTCTGATGGTCCCTGACCCTTCTGATGGTCCTTGACCCTTCTGATGGTCCCTGACCCGTCTGATGGTCGTTGACCTGTCTGATGGTCCCTGACCCGTCTGATGGTCCCGGACCCGTCTGATGGTCCCTGACCCGTCTGATAGTCGTGACCCCTCTGATGGTCCCTGACCTGTCTGATGGTCCCTGACCCCTCTGATGGTCCCTGACCCGTCTGATGGTCCCTGACCCGTCTGATGGTCCCTGACCCGTCTGATGGTCCCTGACCCGTCTGATGGTCCCTGACCCCTCTGATGGTCCCTGACCCCTCTGATGGTCCCTGACCCGTCTGATGGTCCCTGACCTGTCTGATAGTCGTGACCCCTCTGATGGTCCCTGACCTGTCTGATGGTCCCTGACCCCTCTGATGGTCCCTGACCTGTCTGATGGTCCCTGACCCGTCTAATGGTCCCTGACCCGTCTAATGGTCCCTGACCTGTCTGATGGTCCCTGACCCCTCTGATGGTCCCTGACCCGTCTGATGGTCCCTGACCCCTCTGATGGTCCCTGACCCGTCTGATGGTCCCTGACCCGTCTGATGGTCCCTGACCCGTCTGATGGTCCCTGACCTGTCTGATGGTCCCTGACCCCTCTGATGGTCCCTGACCCGTCTGATGGTCCCTGACCCGTCTGATGGTCCCTGACCCCTCTGATGGTCCCTGACCCGTCTGATGGTCCCTGACCCGTCTGATGGTCCCTGACCCGTCTGATGGTCCCTGACCCGTCTGATGGTCCCTGACCCGTCTGATGGTCCCTGACCCGTCTGATGGTCCCTGACCCGTCTGATGGTCCCTGACCCGTCTGATGGTCCCTGACCCCTCTGATGGTCCCTGACCCCTCTGATGGTCCCTGACCCCTCTGATGGTCCCTGACCCGTCTGATGGTCCCTGACCCGTCTGATGGTCCCTGACCCGTCTGATGGTCCCTGACCCGTCTGATGGTCCCTGACCCCTCTGATGGTCCCTGACCCGTCTGATGGTCCCTGACCTGTCTGATGGTCCCTGACCCGTCTGATAGTCGTGACCCGTCTGATGGTCCCTGACCCGTCTGATGGTCCCTGACCCGTCTGATAGTCGTGACCCGTCTGATGGTCCCTGACCTGTCTGATTGATCCTCTCCTCATTACGGGAAGGCGGTTGCTGTTGAGTCCAGCGAAGCGCTCATCCAGCGGTGCCGTTACCCGCGAATTGGGTTCCGCCGCGGCGTGGGCGCCGTGCGGAGAGAACCTCTTTCCGCGCGTGAGCGAGGCACGTCGTGGACACGTTGCGGCGACAGGACGCGATAATACGCGACGTGACACAAACGAACGCGCTGCTAACGCAAACACGCACTGACAAATTACGACACGAAGCACACACGGGGGATGCGCGGCGTGAAAACGAATGCCCGAGTAACGTCACGTTCACGAAAAGGCGTGGGCATGTAATTTCTCTGTGTATTGTGCCCCTAGTAATATGCTGGTGGGGGCGGGGAGTGGGGTGGGGGCGGATTGAGGGGGGCAGTTGGAGCCCCCGGGGGGGGGACCAGTTGTCTTGGTTTCAAAATCTGAATATTTATTCGTACTGGAGGAATCCGATGAGCTATAAAGCTCTTTTTCACAAGATTTTTTTTTTGGGGGGGGGGGTCGCTATAGCAGATACCGTATGTTGAGAACAACTCGTGACGCGTGCATCGAATCGTGCGTGAATGAATAGATTAAATGAACTTAAAATCAACATCATCGTTAAGCCACGGTCAGTCCACTGCTGGATGAAGGCCTCTCCGAGCCACCACCAGCCTAAAATAATTGGCACTTTTTTCGAACAAGCAAAAAGCGAATTGCAATCGTCGTGCGAGCTTCAGGAATTCAAACCCCGGCGATTTAATCCAAGCGTACATGTGTTTTAGTTATTTTTTTTTTAAACAACCCGCGCTTCTAGTGGCTGCAGGGGTCACGTGAATCCATCGCGTCCATCATCGACTACAAATCGAACCCGGCGTTACTCGCGCCAATCGATGAAAATGGAGCCGTCATGAAACTCGACTCGTCACGGCGTCGTCTGCTTAGTCTTGTTTAGAACTCTTCCCCCCCCCCCCATCAACGTACCCCCCCCCCCCCGCCCCCACTGAGACCTCGCAACCTCTAATGAAGTAAAGGGTCACGAACTTTGGTATATGATTTACTTGAGTTTATGCTCAGCGGAGGCGTGGTGATTAAACAAGCTTTACAGCGAGATACAGGACTAAAATAGACAAAGATCCCCCGTGTAGCCTTTGCTTGACTGATGGGGCAAGTGCTGTCAGCGATCAGCATCGAACGAAGGCCGGCACGGCGCGCCTCCGAGATTGTTTAGTCGTTGATGTTGGTCGTGAGCGGGAATCAAACTCGGGTGGCCAGGGTTCGTAGTGCAGTGCGCTAACCACTGCCCCACCGCTCCACACTAACACACACACATATATATAAAGACAACGAATGTTCCTTATAGCCTTCACAGACTGGTGGGGCAAGTGCTGTAAGCGAACACATATATATGAAGTGAACACATATAAAACCTGAGAGTATGAATCCTTGCAGTCACGAAAGCTTCAAATCTAGAATTCAAATCTAGAAACATATACATGTGTGTTCTATATAAGCTGTAAAATCATTATATGCACGTGTGAGGAGTAGTAATGTAGTGGTTAGTGCGCTGTGTTACGTGCTGGCCCTCCCACGGGTCGACTCGGCCTTAAATGAAAACACCGGCACTGGGACGAGGGAGACAAAGACGGCCTTTGCGTGGTGCTGGCCAAACCGCCCTCTCGTGCGCCGTGCCGGCCTTCGTAGGTGCTGCCCGCTAAAACTGCACTTGCCCTCGGCAGCATGTTAAGGCTATACGGGGGATTTGTTTTTTGTCTTTGTGTGTACGAGGCGAATATCTGAACCAGTCCTGGGCCTTCTCCCTCAAGTCAACTCGGACTTGTGCACATTCAGACATGCATTTGTCTTTGCTTCTACTTAAAGGGGAATGGTGTCGCTGTGGTTTGCGCAGTGTGCTGTAAACCCGGTGGCCCGAGTTTGAACCCGGTCACCCGATTTGGAATCCGGCTCAAAGCCAACATCGGTGATGAATGCCTGAAGCGGTCCTGGCCTCTTCCCTAGGTCAACACGGCCTTAAATGATGATTTGGTGCGGTGTTAAAACTCAGTACTGGGGAGACAAAGGCGGTCGCGCGTGCTGCTAGCCACTCATCCCCCGTGCGCCGTGTCGGCATTCATAGGTGCTACTCGCGAACTGCACTTGGCCCAACAGCCTGTTAAGGCTATCCGATGGGAGGTGGGGCCTTTGTCTTTTATTTACATTTAAACTGCACGCCCAGTAGCCGTCCCATCACGTTGACGGCAGGGCCCTCCTCGCCGTGACGTCTTCGAGCAGTCAGCGTCAATTAACCCACGGCAGCCAATTATAGCAAGAAGCAAGGAGGGTGTGTGTGTGTGTCGGAATCACGTCGACGACCCCGTTAAGATGAAGGATAATTTTGAAGGAACACGACAACAACATTTGTTTAAAAAGTGCGTGCAAAGAAACATGGGGAAATTGACGCCTTGGCATTGCGCTTAGAGGCGGACAGACGAGGAATGCAAAGAAGATCGGAGATTGGAGACCAAACGCCAGCAGTGGATTGAGCAAGGGCTGGCTAGCACTTGCATGCGAGCGTCAGCCGGGTGAGACAGGGGGAAGGGATGAGCTTTTTTCTTGTCTCCGTAGTTTCTCTGTGTTCAAAAAACCTTCCACCAAACGATTTGGTTGATTATTTGATAGATTTTTTTGTTGTTGTTGAGAAATATGGCGAAGTGGAATAGCTGCTCGGGTGATTGTGTTGGTTATTTTGAGTGAAAAAAATTTCCAATTTATTTCGGGCTAAGTTGTTGAATATTCGGCGGGGGCGGGGGGCTGATTTCATCTGAACAAAAACACAACAAATGTCCCAACTTAATTTCGCACTCCTTTTCCACTCTCCTCAGATTCTCCATTCGAGGTAGAGAGGTGGTGAGTGGGAGTAAATTACGGAGGGATCAGCCAGGAGTGAGTGAGAGAGAGATATGGGTGAGTGGTCAGTGAGTGAGTGAGAGAGACAGAAAGGTGAGCGGTGGGTGAGCGAGAGTATGAGGGGGGGGGGGGTGGTGAGCGGCGAGTGAGTGAGGTGTGAGTGCGAGAGAAAGACAGAGGTGAGTGGCGGGTGAGTGAGGGGTGAGTGAGAGTGAGACAGACCGAGGGTGAGCAGTGGGTGAGCGGGGGGGTGACGGAGAGACAGGCAGTCGCGTGACAAGCGTGGGGGGCAGGGGGGTGCCTTGCCCCTCCTCTTCATAGCCAAAGCAACGATTTGGTGCTTCCTTGACAACCATCAAGAGATGTTTTCAACAACAGTTTAATCAAGAACAAAAAACAATTTTAAACGCGGTGTAAATACACTTTCTCATGGAAATGCTTTCATTTACGTCCAACGTTTTAATTTTAATTTAATTAGGGCAGTAATTTAATTAGGGCAGTAATGACGTAATCTTGCAAAGAGGTACTGTGGAGCTGGTAGTCGCTGCGTTCTTGTATTTTGGAAGACAGCGGTGACGAATGTCTGAACCGAACATGGGCCCTCCCCTAGGTCGACTCGGCCACAATGAGTACCACGGTGCTGTTGGTAGTAAACATCGCTACTGGGGAGACAAAGGCGGCCGGGCGTGGGTGTGACTACCCACCTCCTCGTGCGCCATGCCACCCTTCATAGGTGCTGCTACTTGCTAACGGCACTTGCCCTGACATCCTGTTAATGCTATACGGGGGATCTTTGTCTTTGTGTGCGTGCGTGTGTATCCAGGTCGCCTCTCAACCGATCGAACCGACCCCCCTCGGTCTCAACGCGAGAAATATCGGGAGAAGGAACAGAGAGGCGAGATAAAGAGAGAGGGCGAGATAAAGAGAGAGGGGGAGAGAGAGGGAGGTCACGGTAACCTCACACAGCCACGACCTCTCCGCGCCTGCTGCTGCTGCCGCCACTGCCGCTGTGCGACGGTGAAAGCGGAGGAAGCATTGGGGGGGGGGGGTGAGGGGGGTGGTGTGGAGTGTGTGGGGTTGGGGGGGGCAGCTCTGCCCGTGAGTGAATCTCTCCGAACCCTCGGAAGACAAAGAGCGGGCGAGAGGGGGCAGGGGGGCGACGAGGTGGTGGCGCGGGGGGCAACACGACAATAAAAACACGCCACCCTTCAGCAGCAGCAACAACAACAAACAACAACAACAACAACCGACGTCTCCAACCAAACCACCGCGCCACCCTTCCCCCCCCTCCCCCCGGCACACAGCCCCCCACCCCCCCAACGGCACCATAGCCTCTCAGTGGCCGGGGCCCGGTGGCGGGGGCCTGCCCCCCCACCACCACCCCCACTCCCTCCTGGGCGGGGGGGGGATGGCCCCCCAGGGCCCCCCCGGGGATGGGGGCTCGAGCGAGGACGAGGATGCGGACGACAGCGGAGCGGAGGGTGGGGGTGGCGCGGGGAGCGGGGGGCCCAACGACAAGCCGCTGGACAACGACGCCGAGGGGGTGTGGTCCCCCGACATCGAGCAGAGCTTCCAGGAGGCGCTCGCCATCTACCCGCCGTGCGGGCGCAGGAAGATCATCCTGTCGGACGAGGGCAAGATGTACGGTAAGGAACGCCGCCGCGCGCGTCCCTCCCCTTCCCCCCCCCCCCGCTGTCCCCCCCCCCCCCCGCTGCCCCCACCTCCTCCCCCGCCCGACCACCGGCCCTCCATCGGTACACCGCCGTGGCGAAATGTTATCTCCCTCAATGCTGGAAAAATTAACTCTGCGATTGTAATTGATTGAAATCACACAGCAGCAGCAACATCACCCCTACCACCCCCCCCCCCCTCTCATTGTGAAAACCAGTCTTGAGACTCCATTCGGCTTTCCTGGACGCCACGGTGGCAAGATGTTAACGACCTCGCCTGGTATACAAGAGGTTGCACATTTGATCCCGACCCTGACGATGCCCTCTTGTATATTTGGGGTTTTCAGGTCTCTCTCTTCCCATGGGCACGTGGATGTTTCCCCTCCGCATTTAGAATGAACGTGTGCGGTGGCGGCGAGATGTTAACTACCTCGCCTGGTATGCAGGAGGTCGTTGTTTCGATCACGACCCTGACGATGTCTATATATTGTTGTTTGCGTCTCTCTCCGTGCTCGCATGCATTTTTCTCTGGGTCCCTCCGGTTTTCAGAATCAACGTCACACGTTTCGAGTATTCGGCTGCTATAAATGTACACGTGACGATAAGCCCACTCCGTCGAGCTCTCATTTGTCATGGCCAGTTCGCTTCTGAAAGAGAAATCTACGTAGTTCACTGTGGGCCTTGCCTGGTAAGTAAAATCGTCACAATGTACGACATCAGAGCGCCAATCTCGGTCCACAGGCCCGGAGCAGTGCTGGGTATACGGAGGGATGATCGGTGGGGGGGGGGGGGGCGATTGGGGGTGGTTGTTGCCCCCCCCCAGCCCTGCTACTTGAGACCCCACAAATTTGTATTTTGTTGATATTCCGCCGAGGCAATGCATGGCACGTTTTGTTGATTAATGAATGCGACGGGGTGGTTGTGGGGGGAGATTTTGGGACGGCTGCCCCCCCCCGCCCCCGAACTCACCTGGGAGGGTCCTAGATCCACCTCTGGCTACTGGCGCCACCTGAGATGGCAAATCCCGAGTTGTCGCCCATCTGAGTAAATGACGCCGTCGCGCCGTTGATGTTTCTCCAACACGTTGATGTTTTTTTTACCGTGAAATGTGTTTTGATACCTCCGAGTTAACTTCTTTTTAATTCGACCCAAAAATACTGATCACGCTTGCGCACGGATTGTTTCGTGGTTATTGTATCTCTCGCGTAACGCGCGCGGAGTTTGTTCTTGCGCCGATTTCCCTTTGCGTCATCTTTCCGTTCTTTAGTTGTCCTGACGTCATAGCCGTCGGTTGCGATTCCAGCGGCTGAGGGTCACCCTCAGCAAGTGAGTCTCGAGTCCTGGTCTCTTGAGTTCTCGCCTGGCCGACCAGAAATAAAACCAAGGGGTCAACCTTGACGAACCTCGGATCTGAGGTGTTGATGAGGGACCGTCCTGTTGCTGTCGATAGACACGGACGGATGTGTTAATGGGGGGGGGGGCGGTACAAATGGGACATTTGTTCCGCGGGCCCAATAACTCCAGAAGGACCCCCCCAAGGGAAAAGAAAAAAGATAGTTTTTACTTAAAGAGACGTGAAGACAGTTTTTCAATTCGCTTTTCGTAACAATGACTCGCGCGTCAACCCGCCAGGAGTTTAGGCGATGATTTCTTCCGAGTCTCGGAAGCTAAGCAGGTCTTTGAGCCTGTTTCGTGCATTGGATGATTGGAGGCTGCCTGTGGCATATCAGGTGTTACAGATGATTAAGATGTATCGGAGCTTACATGCCCACCGATTATTCCCCGACACGCTGCCCGGCTGGAGTACGTGGATTGGCGGTGGGCGGTGGGGGGAAGGGGGGCTGGGTATTTTTGGTGCTGGATGAGTTGGGGGTGTGGACGGAGGGTGATTGTGGGGGGGGTGCGGGTGGTGGTGGGGGGAGAGGCTGTAACAGTGACGCTGGTGGTGGTGGGGGCTGAGAGGCGGAAGACGGTGGTTATTGATGTTTGGTGGTGGTGGTGGTGGTGGTTGTGACGGCGGCGATGGTGGTGGTGACGCGTCGAACAAGACGTGGGGCTGGCGTGCCATGTGGCGGACACATGCCAGGGTGCGTGAAGCTCACCACTTGGGTTTGCTGGGAGGAACCAATGAGGAGGAGGTGGTGGTCATCGTTATCAGCATCATCACTGAGTCATCATAGCATCATTGTCGTCCTCATTGTCATCGTCATATATTCATCATCCTCATCATCAGACTAAGGTGGTCGGGACTGGTGTTGGCCACCCACCCCACATGTACCTTGCCAGCCCTCACTTGCTAAATGCACTTGCCCTAACAGTCAGTTGAAGATAATTATATGGGGGGATCTTTGTCTTTGTCTCCCATATGTATGTGTCTATTCCATCAGCCCCAACGAAAACATCTGCCTTAACACTCTGGGTTATCAGTGGAGGAGCATTTCCCAGTACCTGAGCAGTGGTGCTTATGGGCAGCTCAGGTTTGACAACGGAGGTCTCGCTTACAAACCGGGTCTTCTCACCCATCGCTGCACCCTCTCTCCTCCACGCTTAGGGAGCGTGGGCCCACTGACCGGAACACCTGTGTCACTTGGAAACATTCCAGCTGGGCCACTGCCTGCGATCCATGCCGGTCGGTTTAGCCCGGCTGCATTTACAGTGCCGAGGAGCTCGCAGATCCTTAAAAGATCTGGACACTGTCCCATTAATGACTTCCTCTGGCAGCCGAGGAGGCTGCGTTGGCTGGGTCACGTAGCCCGCGCATGCCCAGCCACTGCATGCCCAAGCAGCTTCTGTTTGGCCGGACCGTAGAGGCTCGAGAGGGAGCTGGTGTGGTACAGGTGTGGACTTGCCCAATAACAGCGACAAGCAGCGTTCAGATCAGCCGCTGGACATGACCAGATTCGCAGCGTTGTGCAGTGAACTTGGCCCGTCTGAGTTCGGGTTCAGGCCATTACTGATATGAATCGGCAACTGACCAGCATGGCGAAGTATGCGTGTTAGTATATATGTAAGGGTTCTGCGGTGGAGAGATGTTAACTACCTCGCCTGGTATGCAGGAGGTTGTGGGTTCGATCGCGACCCTGAGGCCTGCTGTATATTTTGAGTTTGCTTGTCTCTCTTCCTGTGGTCTCATGGATTTTTCTGGGTTTTTCCCTCCACATTTAGCTGCGATTGATTTCCACGTAATGAGCCTCTTTGCTAAGCTATCATTTTGTGGCCAAGTCGCTTCTGACAAAGAGCTACATAGCTCCATGGCTGCTTACTTGGTAACATTTAAATAAAAGCGTGTTGTTAATAGCTTTAAACGAGCACAATAGTAGCAATAGCGATGGTATCGGAGGTGATGGTAGAAACATCATTGGAAGTGGTGGTGGTATCAGCTGACCGCCCACTCACGCGGTCCCCAACAGATGCTCTCCAGATGTGATGAGTGAGTCTGTCCCCCACGACCACGTGTTCGTGGGGGTGTGTGTGTGCGTGTGTGTGTGTGCATGTGTGTGTGTGTGTGTGCATGCGTGTGCTGGTCGACTCAGACTCAACTGAGTAGCTGGTGCATTGTGTAAACGTGGCCAAGAGGGAGACAAAGGCGGCCGGGCGTGGTGCTGGCCACCCACCCCATAATGTGCCGTGTCGGTCTTCATAGGTGTTTCTCGCTAACAGCACTTGCCCCACCAGTCTGTGAAGGCTATACGAGGGGATCTTTGTCTTTCTTTGGCTGGGTGTCTGCGTTCGTGTGTGCTTGTCTGCCTGTGTGAGCGCGAATGCGTGTGTGTGTACGTGTGGGTACTTTGTCTCTGTTTATTTAAATATGGGGAGCGATAGTGCAAGGGGTAAGTGCGTTGCGCTACAGCCCAGCAGAGTTCCCTCCCTGCTCACGATAATAATAACAGTGGGGAATATATTAACCAGTCCTGGGCCTCCCGTAGGTTGACTGAGCCTTAAATTTTTACCTTTATGAAGTAGTGTATATTCAACTAAACTATTTTATTTTACCAGGTAAGGCCCACTCACCTATATAGCTCTTTTTCAGAAGCGACAATTCGACCTGGCCACACATGATAGCGCAAATAAGTGGTTGATCATATTCTTGGTTCTTTCGGTAAAGTCATGTAGATAGAAAACAAAAATCTAAATTAAAAGCAAAAAAACCCACGACGTTTCGATCGCAACACAAGCGGGTTATCTCTGAATAATAATTTCTTCTGAAGATTTTTGTTTTCTATCTACGTGACTTTACCGAAAGAACCAAAAATATGAATTCCTGCAGTCACGAAATTCGTAAGTCTGAAAGTGGTTCATCGTGTGGAAATGTTATAGCAGCCAAATACTCTAAACGAGTGTTTCTAAATGCGGAGGTAAGAACCGAAGGACCCGGAGAAAAATCCACGCCACCACGGGGAGAGAGACACGCAAACTCCAAATACACAGCAGCAGGCGCCAGGGTCGGGATCAATCCCACGACCTCCTGTAGACTAGGCGATGGAGTTAACATCTCTTAGCTACCATGGCACATAAACAGTGGGGAGACAAATGGGCTCAGTCTGAGATTTCACCCCCCCCCTCCCCCACACACGTGTGCTGTACCGGCATCAATATGCACGCGCTAACAGCCCTCTGTCCCAACAGTCTGTGTGCAAGGCTATACGGGGGATCTTTGTCTCTGTTTATTTAAAAAAAAAACGCCTTTTACGGGAAACTCCGACTGCCACCACGCGTCTGCCTTTGTGTCTGCGCGTTTGCGCATGAGTGAGTGTCTTGTGTGTGGGTGTACCGTGTGCGTGTGCCTTCATAGGTGGCCGCTAACAGCCCTTGCCCCAACAGTCGGTGCAAAGGCTATACGGGTGACCTTTGTCTTTGCGTGCATGGAGAACGGTGGCGCAGCGGTTAGCGCTCTGCGCTACGAAGCCGGCGACCCGATACGGATTGTCGCTCTCATGAAATAGTCGGTGACGAATATCTGAAGCAGGTCTTTGGTC